CGCTGAGCCTGCGCGTCCGGAGCCTGTGCTCCGCAACGGGAGAGGCCACAACAGTGAGAGGCCCCGTGACCCGCAAAAAAAAAAAAAAAAAAAAAGAAAGAAAGCCGCCAGCATTCAGGGTGTGGGTAACATATCCGAGGGAGGGAGAGCGCTGAGTCCAAAGGAAGAGCAGAGGGAAAACTCAGAGCTTCCCGGGGCAAGACTGGGGCCAGGTGATGCAGTGTGCTTTGGGACATTTCCCTATGCCAGTAAAGAAAGGCTTAGCCCTTGATCAAGGCCAAGGCCCACGAGGTATATTATTCAGCACAGGTGAAGAAAGCTGCACACCAGGCCTCAGCCCACCACTCAGGGTGAACACGTGGATGCTGCTTTCTCCCGATCTCAGAGTCAGTCACACGTCCTGGAATTTCTCCTCCCAGAAGGTAGCTGGAGCCACAACCTTGGTGTAGTAAACAGGGCCCACCACCCAAATCATATGATCTTGTCCTGAGCCTCACAACAACTTTACTGTGAGCATTATTTTTCCTTTTCTGCAGAGGAGAAAACCGAGGACGTGAGGCTGGGCCGAGCAGACAAAGCAAGTCTAGAAAATGCCCAGTGGTCACTTTGGGAGCTGAATTAGCACATGATTCACTTCTAACCATTGGGCCTGGCCAGTGGCCAGGAAGGCGTTACTAAGGATGCTTGGGTAGAGTCCACCCAAGTCTGTACACTAAAAGTGTCCAAAAAGAAACCCCAAATAGTAAGGTCCAGATCCCATGGCTAAGCCGCTGACATAAGGGGAAGACCTGGGCTGGGCGCTTCCATCTCTGAGTTTGATCTCTCCATCTTTAGAAATAGACAGGGGCCTATCTGGAGATTTGGGGGCCACGTGGAATAAACCCAGAAAGGGTGGGAGCAGGGATTGTTGCCTGCTGGGCTGAGTATGGGGGGAGGCCAGGGCCTCTGAACCCAGCCTTCGGGTCTGCGCCTGCGGCCCAGATCAGAGGCCTGAGCAGAGAACCTGGTACCTGGCCCGACGGCTGTTCAGGCTGCGCAGGCCTCCGGGCCTCCTGGGCCACCTCCCCGTTCCCAAGGATCCCAGCCGGCAGCCCCTCGCGCAGGCCTTCCGCGCACATTCACAGGGAACCCCTGACAGAACAGGCCCTGTGAAAGAGGAGGCATCTGAGCCGTAAGAAGCACGGGCTGTGAGGGGGCCACAGCAAGTTGCCCACTGAGGACTCGTGAAGGGCAGGCCGTGCCCAGGTCAGGAAGGGAAGCTCAGCCAAGGAGGCGTTCAGGATGAGGCCCATCTCAGGAACAGAACGGCCAGAAGAGAAGCCTGCATGACTCAGTCTGCGTTCTCAGACCCGCAGCCCCTTGTGACATCACTGGCAGGGCCGGCTGTAAGGGGGAGGCCCCGTCAGAGTCATTCCCCTCTGCCCCGGCTTCCATCACCTCCCAGGCCTGCAGTCATGCCCAGGGCCATGCTCCTGTGGTCCCTTTTGCTGCACGTGACCCAGGCCAGGGACGCACATCTGGGTAAGTAGATGCCTGCCCTGGCCCGAGTGGCTCTCCAGGCGGGGCTGGGCGCAACCCTGGCCCTGCTCTCTCCCTTCCATCCCACCAGGGCTGAGCCTGAGGGGCGAGGGACAGAGGCCTGGACAATCCCACAGAACAGTTAATGGGCCACTGAGAGGCCGGTTCATGGGAGCAGCGGCTTCCTGCTCCCCCTACACCCCTCCCGGAAACCACTTCCCTTGGTCCTTCTGCCCCAGCCCCAAGTTCAGCCTGTCTGACCTTAGGTTTTGGGTTTGAAACCCGAGACTCTATCCTTGAATGAATAGTGGAGCACTGAGAAGCACGGGCCCAGAATGAGCTGAGCATCGGTCCTGGAACTCAGATGCTGAGCAGATGCCCAGGACACCCATGTGCATGAGAGGTGGGGTGGATGTGGGCCGGGGGTGCCTGCTGTGCTCCACGGGCAGCTCCTCACAGCTCCTGATAGGTTGTTTCTCTCTCTGGGAGGGGGCTGGGGGGGCAGGTGGCTGAAGTGGAAAGGAAGCTGTTATGGGTCAGGTACTTTCCCCCGTGAGATGCCCACACTACCCCAGTGGGCTCTCCACTGTTAGCACCACGTGTGGGTAAGGAGCTCCGAGCCTCAGGGAGGTTGAGGATTGGTCCAGAGCTTCGCAGCAGGGAAATGGGAGAGCCGGGAGTGGCCCCAGTGTGACTCCAGGGCCTGCATTTCCCTCCCTGCCCTCGGCCTCACGGAAAGAACACAGCCCATGTCCCCGGCTTCCCTCCTTCCGGCCTGGGCTTGGCTGCACGGAGTGAATGGGGCCTGGTGCGTGGTGTGGGCAGAGAATCGGCAAAGCTGGCCTCTCTGCAAGCAGGTCCAAGTGCCCCCGATGGCTCGCATCTCTGCTTACCATTTTGGCACTGCCTCCGTCACTGCTTAGGGCTTTGGGTTCCAGCGTTAGTCTGTATGTCTGCACGGTTCCACGCTGGTGATGTAGGTTGTCCTCGAGACCAAGGAAAGGGGGCCCTTGGTGCAAGGTGACATGAGAAATTCTGACAGCTAACGTGGCTCGAGTGTTTACTCTGTGTTGGGCACCTCAACACCCGTTATCTGTTCTGTACGTCTGTGCATCTGTTCTGTAGCTTAAATGTTATCTTCTGCCTGTTTGGGGAATAAAGAAGGGGATGATAAACAAGAATAAGTCGTTTACCCTACATCATTCAGCAGATAAGCAACAGAGCCAGGATTCAGACTCAGGCTTTGGGACTCCAGAGCGTATAATGGTGCCCAGACACATGGTAAGACTATATGTGTTTGGTAAATAAAGGAGGAAGTGCAGACCCAGAAGTCCTGGAAAGAGCCTCTATATGTTGCTGACAGCTGCAGTCTATTGACACATATTGATACATTTTCACTCCATTTTTTTTTAACTAAAAATAACCACCACTGGGTCCCTCCAACACATACTACAAAGTCCTCAAAACCTCTGTTGAATGGGTATTTGGGAAAGTAGCCTCTAGAAAGAGAGGGGAGGGGGTCTTGGGCTCTATAGAATCAAGCTCATTCTTTGTTCCAGAACAAGACCACATTCAAGTCAGAAAATACTAAGAGTGTCTCCTCCTCCTCCGCGGGGTGAGGGGTTGGATCTGGACTTGGTGTAGAAGGCAGGTTTCTCTTCGAAACAGGCAGCTGCAGCCTTTGTTCTCAGCCTTCCAGGAAACAGAGCTGCTCTGCCTGGAACAGAATGTTCTAACCTAGAATAGCTCAGGGCTTCCTGTAGGTTCAGGCCCTCTCTGGGCCACCCTTCTGGTTTCCTGTATGTATTAGTTTCCTCTTGCTGCTGTAACAAGCTACCACAAACTTAGTGGCTTAAACAACACAAACTTCTTATCTTACAGTTCTGTAGGACAGAACTCCCACATGGATCTCCCTGGGGTAAGATCAGGGTGTCAGCAGGACTGCATTCCTATTGGAAGCTTTAGGGAAGAGTCTGTTAACTTGCCTTTTCCAGCTTCTGGAGATCATCCGTATACCTTGGCTTGTGGCACCTTCCTCCATCTTCAGAGCCAGCAATATTGCATCTCTCAGTGCCTTTCTTCTGCAGTCACATCTCCCTTCTTCTGCTTCCCTCTACCACTTTTAAGGACCCGTGTGATTACATTGGGTCCACTCAGATTATCCAGGACAATCTCCCCATTTTAAGGTCAGCTGATTAGCAACCTTAATTCCATCTGCAAAGTCCCCTTTGCCTTGTAACATATTCACGAATTCCAGGGCATGGTCCATTAGGACGTGGACATTTTTTGGCAACAGAGGCAATATTCTGCCAGTCACTCCAGGTTGGCCCTGGCCAAGTATTTTCCTCTGATTTCTCTCAGATGAGAGCAGAAACAAGCTCGGCAAAGTGACTTGCCTGTCTGGAAAGGAGACAGAGCCAGCACTTCCGAACACGTTCCAACAGTTGTGAAGCATCTGTTGGCTTACTCGTGTTTCTAAGGGTGCTTTACTGGGCCAGCCTCAGTTTCCCCATCTCTAGAATGGGTATAATGATAGCTACTTATGGGTCTTCTATGGATAGTGACTAAGCGTTGCATCGTTTCCCTTCCTTTCTCTTCCATTCTACCAGAATGCGGTGAAAGACCCATTTTTGAGAGAGGAGCTCAGTATTCCAGAATCATAGGAGGGATGGAGGCTGAGGTGGGTGAGTTTCCATGGCAGGTGAGTATTCAAGCAAGAAATGAACATTTCTGTGGTGGCGCCATCATCAGCGAGTGGTGGATTGTCTCGGCGGCTCACTGCTTTCACTCTGAGATCTCGTAAGTACCGAGTCCATTCCCTTGCTTCTGACAGTGTGCTCCCCTCCCTGGGGAAGCCCCACACACCCTAGGGAGGAAGAGGCTGTGAACCCAAGGCCGGATCCACTGTGTCCTCTTTGTTGTCAACCAGAACCAGTAACTGCAGCTTCCCTGAGGTCACAAACTGTCCTCTCCAGGGACATCTGTGTCTTGGTGGAGCCAAAGGGCTGGGTCTGTCTACCTCTCCCAGGACATTTCAAGTCCTTCTAGGAGGAAATCCTCCTAATTCTGGAGGTCTGGGTTTCTGGGCCATCCGACAGCCTACTTCCCTTCTCCTTATAGAGTTTTCTCTGCACTCCAGGAGACTGGTGGAAAATGGAGCATTTACTGATTCCTAATCCTGTGCCAGCGACCTGCTAAGAAACTACGTGCATTAACTTATTTAATCGTACAAACAACCCTGAGGCGGGTAGAATGAATAATCCCCTTTTAACTCATTCCAGCTTACAGAAACCCTGAGGCAGGAAAAATGAACATCCTTATCTTATAGGGAAGGAAACTGAGGTCCAATAAGGTTAGCTGACTCACCCAAGGTACACACCTAGTAGACAGAAACAGGATTTAAATCCGGTTCCAGCACTTGTGCTTTTCCGCTCCACCACCTCGAGAAAGTTTGAAGATACACAGAAAGATGAACTTTAAAGGGTTAATCAAAAACCTGGGGAAAGTTTCACCCTGGGGTAACCAAGGAAGCTTGTTGCATCTGCTCCCATGGGATACGTAAGGACTGGCTTTTGGAAAGTTGCTGGCCATTCTGCCTGGAGGGAAATTCCTGAACTATTACTGAAGATTCTTTCTGCTTCTTCAGTGGCAGGTCTGGATTAAATTCTGTTCCTGATTCTTGCATAGGTCTCCAGGTGCATATGTGCAAGAGTTTATTCCTAGGAGAGAAGATAGAGAATCATAGGACTTGTGCGTCTTCAAGTTTATCAGAAAATCCAAATGATTTTCCAAAGTGGTTGCACCCATTTAAATTTCCGCCAGCGGTGTGTAAGTGTTCAAATCATCACCAAGGCTTGCTACTTTTTCAGAATTTTTAATTTTTGCTTTTCTGGTGAAAAGCATGAAATACTATTATAATTGTAGTCTTAATTCGCACTTTTCTTACTACTGCTAAGTTGATGTTTGCAAGTTTATTGGTATATCTTCTCTTTTGTAAAGTCTGTTTGAGCTTTGACAATTTCTTTTTAATTTGTAGACTCTCTTTATACGTTCCGAATGTTAAACTTTGGTCAGTTGTGTATGTTGCAAACAAAAAAATTCTGTTCCTGAGTCTCTAAATTGCTGGTGGACAAATTGATGTGATAATCCCTTCCTATCTGAGGGCTAGTTTGAGCTGTGCCAAGTGGTCTTTTATGGGCTCTTTGGGGGCCCAAAGCAATGTCCTGTCTTTGCCCCGTGAGGCGGGAGTATCTCATTCACATCTCTGGGATGATTCTGGAGCAGCCATGGAGCTATGGTCGGCCACAGTGTCTGTTTCACCTTCCTTCTCTACCTTTTTCAAATGCTCACATCTTCTGAGCAACAGCCCCAGTAGGACAGATCCAAAAGGCCCCTACAGCTATGTGGGATTTAGGGTTTTCAGGCACAGCAGATTGTGTGCACCTTGTGACTTTCCTTCCCCTCGTATTTCTCCGTCTCTGCTTCTCCGCCACCAGGCCGACAGAACTGAGAGTCATGCTGGGAACGAATAGCTTAAGCAGCCCATCCCTGGAAATAAAGGGGGTCACAAGCATAATTCTGCACAAGGACTTTCAAAAACTCAACATGGACAATGATATCTCCCTGCTGCTGTTGGACACGCCCATCACATTCAGCGAACTGAAAGAACCCATCTGCATGCCCACAGAGCCCGGCCTCTCCAGGTGGCACAAATGCTGGGTGGCGGGATGGGGGCAGACCCAAACTGGTAAGTAACGGCTCAGCATCTCTTGGGAGCGCCTGGGGGAAGAGCCACATCACGGGCGTCTGAGGATGGGCCAGTAAACCTAAAGGAGAGGGGAGAGGGTGAAAGGGGAGAGGGCTGAGGAAGGAGGGAGGAGAGAGGGGCTTGCATTGGAGCAAATCCCTGCACACCAGGAACGCACAGAGGCCTGATCTCAGCCTCTTCCAAGTGCGAAGGAAACATCCCCCAAGGCCCGGAGCTGAGATGCCAGGTGTGGGCCATCCCTGGGTGTGGTCCTATCTCGCGATCACGTGGCAGTCTCGTTTGTTTCATTGAATATAAACCCTCCAGTTGGCCAGGAGGGGCTCTCTGCTCTGCCCTCTCACATCTCCCTGATTCACACATTGATGTTTCCCACCTGGTTCCTACAGGCATTCAAGACGCCTGCCCTGGCCTAGACTTTAGACGGTCCTGGAGTGTTGCCCAGCCATTCTTAGAAATGAATCTGTTGTTGTTACTTGTTGTTACTTGGCCAAAATAAGAGGAACCTGACCAGGGTAATAAAGGGATTATGAAAGCCCTGCTGGACTGTTCCCAAAGAAAACTCAACAAAATTGGTAGGGGAGGGACGGGAATAGCACAGCGCTAACTCAGGCCTGAACAAGACTCCAGGTCCTTAGGGATGCTTTGCAACGACCTGGGGTCTAAGAGATGGTAGGTATTTCAGGAGTTTGGTAACTCGAGGGCAACTGGTGTAACACTGATTCAGGGCTCTGGGCACGACTCAAAATTTAGAAGTGAGGAGAGGCAGATTAAGAACACTCAGTGTGGAGAAGTCTTTTGAAATCTCCATGTGGTAGGAGTTAATGAGATGGAGAGAAGTCCAAACAAATTCCTGGAAGCTGGCAGTCCAGGAAGGGCCTTGACAAACCCCCTGTAAAAACTCTCAACCAACCTAGCTTTGTCTGGGGGACCTGAAAGCTTTTTTCACCGGGAGTGCAAACCCAGTTTCAGCGGCCCTGTGTCAGAGGTGTCACACTCACGTAACAGAAAGTAGCGAGAGGCAAATATGTTGAAGAGGCAGGATTATGCTGAGAACCGATCGAAAGCCAGTTCTAAGAAGTCAAGTCTGTAGCGCTGTTGGAGCCAAGATGGAAGTCTTCTTGGAGGCAGGAATACGATTTTGAATGGGAGGGATAATTCAAGTAGGTGGGGACTTGTTTGGAAGAGCCTGGGGTGGTGGAGTGAGTAAATTGCGAGGGATTACTGGAAGGACATGGAGAGTGAGGGTCTGTGAAAATGTGAAATGGATGTGTGGCTGGCGGGACACTGGGCAGGTTGGTCTAGGGCACGTCAGCTGCATTATCAGCACTGGGCCTCCTGTCCAGTGACTTTTCTAAAGGGCCTTCTCTATGGGTCAGGTCTCAAACAGCCTATGGAAACAGAGCTGCTGAAAGTGCCCATGACCATCATGGATCGGGAGAAGTGTTTAAAGGAATTTCCAAGACTTACCAAAAATATGCTGTGTGCTGGGTACGAGAATGAGACCTACGATGCTTGCCAGGTAACTTGGATGTATCCCCTCCATCCCCTCGGGCTGCCACTGTAGAGGCATCCTCTCTCCATGGGGAATAGACAATAAGAGTTTGGAAAATGTGTGGGAATCAGGCTTAGATATGGGAATGGGGACATGGATTCAGGAATACTTACTGTCAGGTCCTTGGAATATCAGTGCTTGGCTGGAAGTCAGTATGCAGCAACCCTGCATAAACATTTCTGGTCTTCTCCAGGTAGGCCCCCAAGACTTTTTCCATTTCTGAGACTTCTTTAAAAAACAAAAAGCCAAGGAAGATTTGAGATCCATACAAGGAATTATTTTACTTCATTAATTTTAGCTACCTTTGTTGAGTGCACTAAACCCTGGGACTCAACAATTGATGAGACATGGTTTCTTGCCTAAAAGATCCCACAGTCTCCTGGGCAGGCAGTTGGGTAAACAATCATAGTGTATTGGATAATGCCTGTGAGTTTCACTGAAGAGAAGTCTGGTAGCTTAGCTTCTCTCTACTAAAATTAACACAAAAATTTAAAAAGAAACGCACTTTTTGATTGATAGCAGAAGAAACAGGGGAAAACCCCTCATAAATTAGCTTCCTCTGGCTCTAAGGATGGGAAGGATACATCTTGGGAAGGATCACGCTGGGGAGCCCACTTAGTCCTACTCATTGGCTGGGCAGTGGATCTGGTCACTGGTGTAAAACTCTAAGTGCAGATGTTAAATGTTCTGCAGAGTGATGAAAAGGCTGTCTCACAGAAGGGCTGTGAGGTAAGAAAGAGTGAACACTGGCAGCAATGGCACCAGGTTTAGAAGGAGGAGTCCCCCACGAGGTGGTGAATATCATGAGGACCACAGAGAGAGACAGAGTCAATGTCACACGAGCCCTGTGTTTTCCCCGCATTCTGGATAGTTTAAAACATTACAAAACAAAACAGACGATTGGGACTTCTGGTTCTGGACAAGATGGAGTAGACACATTTCTCTTGATCCCTTCCACTAAATACAGCTAAAAGCACTGGACATTATATTGTGAAACAAAAATAAAGGCTCCAAAATGTGAAGAGAAGATGAAATTGGAAACAAATATCCTAATACTTATGGAATGACACAGCAGTGAATTCCTTGGGTTTTCTTTTTGCCTCTTATAGCCCAGCCTGGATGGTAGTACATAACAGCTCAGAAGACCTGGGAGCAGCTGGGGGAAAAAAACGCCACGGGCACAGACAAACTAACAAAACAAAACAAAACAAGATAGCCTTCCTCTCTTTGGACCAGGAAAAGGGCAACCTAACAAGGTGGAAACTTTTAAACAATAATCATTCTATTCCAGCAAAACACCAGGAAAAGCCCCACAGTGCTCCTACCCCAGCAACCAAGGTCGAGTGGACAATCTCACCTTCCCCCCCTCCCCCTGCCCACTATGGTGGTGTCAGAGGAGGCTGAGTGGAAAGCCAGGACTTTAAGTACAATCTAGTCATAATGAGCCATCCCCTGTCCCCCTCAATGTCAGTGGAGGCCACCTGAGGAGCTTGGGCTCCCACCCAGTGGTAGCTGCACCCTGCTCCTCCCCTTGGTGTCATAGCTGGCCTGAGTGGCGGGTCAGGACTTCCACCCCAATTCAATGGAAAGGAGTTGGCATCCCCCTTCCCTGACTCCAGTTTCATAAGAGGCCTGTTAAAACAGAAGATTCACATGAGAACCCAAGTCTCATAACTTATTACTCAAGACAGGATCTGTAATAGATAGAAAAGAGGGTTTCACTAATATACATGGATTCCATTTATTAATACACATAGGATAAGGAAAAATAAAGCTAAAAATCTGAGTAAAGAATCTTTTTTTAAAAATTGAGAACCATCAATTCCTAGAATAAATTCAATTAAAACAAAATGGATCATGCACTTAAATGTAAAACTACAAAATTTTTTTAGAAAAAAAAAAAATAGGAAGTCTTTGGGACATAGAGGAACACCAAAAACACAACTCATAAAAGGAAAAATTGATCAAATGGACCTCATCAAAATTAAAAACTTTTCCTTTATGAAAGACCATATTAAGAGGATGAAAAGACAAGCTACTGATTGGGAGATAATATCCAACAAGGAAACTATACCTAGACTATATAAAGAACTCTTGCAGTCAACTGTAGAAAAATGTACTATCCAATTCAAAAATGGGCAAAAGACAAGAACAGACATTTGGCTGAAGAGGATATACAGATGGCAAATAAGAAAATGAAACGATGTTCAACATCATTAGCCATCAAGCAAATGCAAATTAAAACCACAATCACGTATCACTACACACCTCAGAATGGCTAAAATTAAAAAGTAAAAAATAGTAACAACACCAAATGCTGATAAGAATGTAGAGAAACTGGATCACTCGTATATTGCTTGGGGGAGTTTAAAATAGTCTAATCACTCTGGAAAACAATTTTTGTAGTTTCTTTAAAAACTGAATGTGCTCTTGCCATATAACCCAGCAAATGCCATTCTTGGGCGTTTATTCCAGAGAAATGAAGGCTTGTGTTCACACAAAAACCTGTACAGGAGTGTTTATAGCAGATTTACTCATAATAGACCAAAATTGGAAACAAATGTCCTGTAAGACGTGGATAATTAAATACACTGATAATTAAATACACTGCATCTATTCCATGCAATACCACTCAGCTGTTACAAGAAGCAAACTATTGGTACATGCAACCACGTGAATGTGTCCAGAGACTCATGCTATGTGCAACAAGCTGACCCCCAAAGGTCCCACACTGTGTGATTCCATTTACATAATGTTCTTTATTAAAAAATTTTTATTGGAGTATAGTTGATTTATAATGTTGTTAGTTTCTGCTGTACAGCAAAGTGAATCAGTTATATATATATATATATAT